AATGCATTAAGCATTAAGCATTTGTATGTATGTTGTTTTTCACCCGTTTATTTAGAGTACATACTAAAATCGTGTCATGTCATCAAAATGTAATTAAATCTATTTTCCTGAAGTACAGAATCGTCTTTACATGTAAAACTATTGATTAATAACATTTCGTTGTAAAACATGAATTACCTAGCTGTTGGCTGTGATACGCAGCGTATTATACGTTTATCTAAACCTCAGTGATCCCAGAGGATAGTAGATACAAATAGACAAATATTATACAAATATCGCAATTCCAGAGCTTGTCACATTTTAATTATACGGCAATCACATCAAGGACGTCAGTGAGAGGAGGAGAGAGAAAAGGATGTGCGCATGAGCAGGGTAGAGGGAGGGCGATAAGGAGTCGCCTCCAGTTAATTTTTCCCCTCCCCCCCTCTATCATTGTCTCCCTTACTCCTCTACGTCGCCCCCCTGCCCCGACACCAGCACCATCGTCTTCTCCCCAACCTCCTTCACTGTCTCCTCCTCCTCCTCTACGTCCCCCCACCGACTCCAGCACCACCCTCTCCCCCTCCTCCCCAACCTCCTTCACTGTCTCCCCCTACTCCTCTACGTCGCCCCCCTGCCCCGACTCCAGCACCACCGTCTCCCACCTCCTCCCCAACCTCCTTCACTGTCTCCCCCTACTCCTCTATGTCGCCCCCTGCCCCGACTCCAGCACCACCGTCTCCCCCTTCTCTCCAACCTCCTTCACTGTCTCCCCCTACTCCTCTACGTCCCCCCACCGACTCCAGCACCACCTTCTCCCCTTCTCTCCAACTTCCTTCACTGTCTCCCCCTACTTCTCTACGTCGCCCCGACTCCAGCACCACCGTCTCCCCTTCATCCCCAACCTCCTTCACTGTCTCCCCCTACTCCTCTACGTCGCCCCCCCCGACTCCAGCACCACCGTCTCCCCTTCTCCCCAACCTCCTTCACTGTCTCCCCCTACTCCTCTACGTCGCCCCCCTGCCTCCGACTCCAGCACCACCGTCTCCCCCTCCTCCCCAACCTCCTTCACTGTCTCCCCCTACTCCTCTACGTCGCCCCGACTCCAGCACCACCGTCTCCCCCTCCTCCCCAACCTCCTTCACTGTCTCCCCCTACTCCTCTACGTCGCCCCCCCCCCGACTCCAGCACCACCGTCTCCCCCTTCTCCCCAACCTCCTTCACTGTCTCCCCCTACTCCTCTACGTCGCGTCCCTTCCTCCGACTCCAGCACACCTCTCCCTCCTCCCCAACTCCGTCACTGGTCTCCACCTACTCCTCTACGTCGCCCCCGGACGGGTACAGCGCAGGCTGATCGTGGCATCGCCTACGTGTCGCCAACCTTCTGTGTTCGAAGCTGGTGCTGTCCCGCTCTCCTCTACGTCGCCCGGACTCGCAAGCACGCACGTATCTGGCGCCCCTCGCTCCCAAGGCGATCGGTTTACCTGTCTCTCCCTACTCTCTATCGTCGCCCGTCGCATGCTCCGACTTCAGGCCACGTCTCCCCTTGGACGGCGCAAGCAGGCGCCCAACCTTCTTCACTGTCTCCCGGCCTGATCTCCTCGGATCGTCACTCCCCTTGCCCGATCTCCGAGCACACGTTCCTCGATGCGGCCAAGGCCTCCGTTTGGACGTGTCTAGCCTGCGCTATCTGCCGTGCGTACGCTCGCGGCCCATGGGGATGCCTTCGACTCGCAGCACCCGTCGCTCGGCGTCGGTCCTCCCCAGACCTTCACTGTCCTCCTCCTACTCCGGGCGGCTAGGGCGTAGGCCCCCGGTCGCATCGCGGAGCGACACAGCACGGTCCCCCCCTCCCTCCCAACACTCCTTTACTGCTACTCCCTTACTCTCTACGTACGCCCCCCCCAGACTCCAGCACCACCGTCTCTCCTCCTCCCCAACCTCCTTCACGTGTCTCCTGCCTACGCCTCTACGTCGCGTCCCCCGCCTGACTTCAGCACCACCGTTCTCCCCCTTCTCCCAAAGGGGCCGGCATCCCTTCTGACTGTCTCCTGCAGGCTATCTCTAGGCGGCGCTCCCTGCCCCGATCCGCACACGTTTCTCCCCTCCTCCCGAACCAACCTTCTTGCACCTGTCTCCCCTGGTACTCTCTGGGACGTAGCCCTCTTGCACCCGGTGCTCCAC